CCCTGCCGGTCGGGTGCGAACAAGGCTTCCGCCGCCGTCTCTCTCGCGCTCGCCGAGCGCCTCACAGTGGTGGGAGAGAGACCGAGTGACTGACGGCAGCAGTGTTCGGAGTGAGCCGACTCTGCTTGGCCCCGGCAAACGGACTGATTTGCAAAGGACGTCCTGGAAAGGAAGGCTCTGACCTTAGCGCGCCACGCCCTGGCGTACGCCCCGCCGGCCACGCCCTGGCGTGCACCGTCCAGCTGAGACGTGCGGTCGCGTAGTGCGCTGAGCCAAGCCATGGTTGGTTGGTTACAAGGCGCAAATTTTCTAAGACTCATCACAGTATTTTGTGCACATGAACTACTTTTCGTACCAATTTGTACGCGGGGAAAATGTACCTGGGGAAATCTCTGCAGTGTTTTTCGAACAAAACTGGTACGAAAAGTTCATGTGCGTTTAAAAACTGTGATGTCTCGTACAAAATTGGACCCAGTGTGTACACTGCAAACCTATCTGTCTACTACGTGCACTCTTACAAATGCATGCCCGCAAGTACACACTTACAAACGCATGCTTGACGCCGTATAACTCCACGCGTCAAGCATGCGTTTGTAGTGTGTATTTGCAGGCATGCATTTGTAAGTGTGCACTTAGTAGACAGTTAAGTTTGTAGTGTACCAGCCAGGTATGACCTGTTGGTCCGCAGCCCAGCCTGTGCGCGTCTGCGCCCCCCGCGACATGCGCCGCCTCTGCCCGCCGCCGCCGTGCCCGTGCCCCGCGGCGGAGGCCCCGCTCACGGCGATGGGCAGGCTGATGCACTTGTTGGGGCTGATGCTGCGCGCCGCGGCGGTGGCCGGCCTGGTGGCCTACTCCAACGAGCAGGGCCTGTGGGGCGGCCACGACGGCACGGCGCGCCTCTTCGGCAGAGGAGCCCTGCGCCTGGCGGAAGCGGTGGACTGGCGCCTCGATGTGCCGCCCGGACAGCTGCCGGAAGTGAGTATACACTGAAAATAGAAAGGTCAGACTTTTGACCCCTATAACGGTCTTACTGTGTACGACCGAAAAAGGGTCATACTGAAATGTAAGACCGAAAAAAGGTCATACTTCGATATATGACCGAAAAACGGTCATACTTTATAGTGTATCACAGGTAAAGGCTGATATATGAGCAGTTCTCGCGAAATGGTTAATTTTGGGCCCTGAAACTTTTTGAAAAAAAGTTCAATTGAAACCGGTTTTTTTGCATTTATCTTGTTAAGAACATCACTAGGGATCATGGATTCATCGGGGCGAGCTATCACCCCAATAATATAGGAAATATCGCAATTTTAATTTTTTTGCCGTCCACGGAAATTACACAGCCTCAGAAACTGTCCACGGAAATTACATTTTAATGGGCCCTTAGAATAGGTGCGATACGAACGCAAACGCCTAGCAGTTTAGGCAGCTCCCTGCACATCTGTGCATTCTGGTTCCATGTTGCGTACCTCACAATAAAATTTCGGGCCAGACCACAATTTGATCGTATGCCGTTTCGGGCCCGACACATGCCCGCGTGCACTGCCAAACGGGACACGGCCGTCCTTACTGGGGTGCCACGTTATACTGGCGGAGAAGAACCTCGTGCGGCTACAAGGTCCCACTCGTAGTGTGACCAGTATGTGACGAGGTGTCCCCCCCCATGGGGGGGCACCCTAGTACAGCCTCTTTGAGCAGGACTGGGTCCGGTGTCCACCTCTCCCGGCTTAATTCCCTTGTCTCGGGAACAACTGTGAATTCATTTTCTTCTGACCACGGTTGCATAGTGTTTACCTCCCAGGCGGTACCTCTCACACTTGGCAAATGATGGGCCCTAGAGTGGACAACGGAGGAAAGTTTCTCTTGATCAGTTCCTGCGTGTCTATGTTCGGAAAATATTAAATAATGGGTGCGATCAGTTGAGGAAAAGTTGATCGGCGGGTCGAGACAGCGGCCCGCTCGCGGTGCGGTCTATTTAGCCCTCCTGGAAGCATATCTGGCACCCACGTTTACTAACCTATTTGGAAAGATTTCTTTTTGAGTTTGAGGAACAGATTGCTGCAATTTATTCGATAAACTGGGTCTTTGCATTCGAACGGAAAGCTTAGGAAAAATGTCATGTTGCTTAACATATCGGTCAGGTTAAGTCCACCGCAAGTCTTAAATGGTCAGCTAGATCCCAAAATACAGCGAGCCTATTTTTCGCAAGACATTAAGCTTTCCGATCTGAATAATCAACGCTGAACGGTTTCACTGACTCGCAGTCACAACTGTCAAGGCAGTATGCCGGCCGCGCCGAACAAAGCAGCATAAAACCGCTTGGTTGTCCAGAAAATACAGTGTTTGACCAATCTGATAAGTGGAGTCGAAAGCTTAGACTCTTGCAAAACGTCGGCTCGCTGCTCGTTTGGGTCCATTTTGTGACTTGCGGCGGGTTTAACCTGATGGATGTTGTGTTAAACTACGCCACGACTTTCCTCAGCTTGCCTTCCCATTCCCCATGCCCATTTCCCTCCAGGATGGTATTCCCTCCATAAGAGAGGTTTAAAACAGAAAAATATCGACATACTTTAGAGCTGAGGCCCCTTGCGAGGCCAAAATCACGTGAAACGCAACGAAAACCTCATTTTGTCCACGGTGAAACCGATGTCTGGAAATTTCCAGACATTTTTTCCCATTTCCAGACATTGTCTGGAAATGGCCGTTTTTTTCCAGACAATGTCTGGAAATGTCTACTTTTTCCAGATAATGTCTGGAAATGGTCAAATCCCAGATATATATCTGGAAAAAGAACGGCATTTCCAGACAATGTCTGGAAATAACATTTTCCAGATAATATCTGGAAATTTCCCAGATAATGTCTGGAAACAAAGGCCTTGACGCCGAGGTCCACGGATTTGCGACCTGGGGGTCCCCGATGGTGTCCTCGAGGTCCCCAGGACACGAGGAGTCCAACGCCGAGGTCGCCGACGCTCTAGGACAAGCGGTTCCGGAGATACGAGGACGTACCACAAGGAGTCCGTCAAAGCAACTTTTTAGTTGGAGGCCAAAATCATCATCGGCCTCTGGCTGCGTTCCACTTGGGTGTCCGGGACTTTTGACTTCAGCATCGTGTTAAGGTAGTGCTAGACTACCAGGAACCCGTCAGAGGTCGCCGTCGGACCACCGGTGCGCCCAGGATGCCGACGAACGTGAGGCACGCCGGAGCGCCGTGGCGTGCCGGGTGCCTAAACGATCGTCGCCACCGCTGCGGCCGCTGCCGCCGGGTCCTCCGCACCAACCGCGAGCTTGGACGACGGAGGCCGACGCCGTTGGCACCGACGCCGCCGACGTGTACGTCGACGCCACCACATTGGCCTCTGGCATTGGCCTCCGGCTGCGCGGCCGTTCGAGCACACGGCGGCGGCGTCGGCCGTCAGGGCATTCCGCGTCGGTGCCGACGGCGTCATCTCTGGCCATCCAAGCACACGGTGGCGACGCAGGACACGCCGGCGGCATCAGCCGTCCGGGCACGCGGCAGCGTCGTCGGCCCTGGCCGTGGTGGCGTTGACAGACACGTCGGTGGCGTCGGCCCCCGTCGTCCAAGCTGTTGGTCGCGACGTAGGACACGGCGGCGGCGGGGGCGACACGATCGTTCAGGCACCTTGCCCGCCACGTTCGTCGGCACCCTCGGCGCACCGGTAGTCCGACGGCGACCCCTGACTGGTAGCCCAGGTGCACCCTAACGCAGTGTTTAAGTCAAAAGTCCCGGACACCCAAGTGGAACGCAGCCAGAGGCCGAAGCGGCCGTTAGAACACACTAACGGCCGACTAAGCACGTGGTGGCGTCGACGTACACGTCGGCGGCGTCGGTGCCAACGGCGTCGGCCTCCGTCGTCCAAGCTCGCGGTTGGTGCGGAGGACCCGGCGGCAGCGGCCGCGGCGGCAGCGGCCGCAGCGGTGGCGACGATCGTTTAGGCACCCGGCACGCCACGGCGCTCCGGCGCGCCTCACGTTCGTCGGCATCCTGGGCGCGCCGGTGGTCCGACGGCGACCTCTGACGGGTTCCTGTTAGTCTAGCACTACCTTAACACGATGCTGAAGTCAAAAGTCCCGGACACCCAAGTGGAACGCAGCCAGAGGCCGATGATGATTTTGGCCTCCAACTAAAAAGTTGCTTTGACGGACTCCTTGTGGTACGTCCACGTATCTCCGGAACCGCTTGTCCTAGAGCGTCGGCGACCTCGGCGTTGGACTCCCCGTGTCCTGGGGACCTCGAGGACACCATCGGGGACCACCTGGGTGGTGGCGACAACGGTGTTGAACCGTGTGGCGGCACAGCAGCCACGTTCGTCGGCATCCTGGGCGCACCGGTGGTCCGACGGCGACCTCTGACGGGTTCCTGGTAGTCTAGCACTACCTTAACACGATGCTGAAGTCAAAAGTCCCGGACACCCAAGTGGAACGCAGCCAGAGGCCGATGATGATTTTGGCCTCCAACTAAAAAGTTGCTTTGACGGACTCCTTGTGGTACGTCCTCGTATCTCCGGAACCGCTTGTCCTAGAGCGTCGGCGACCTCGGCGTTGGACTCCTCGTGTCCTGGGGACCTCGAGGACACCATCGGGGACCCCCAGGTCGCAAATCCGTGGACCTCGGCGTCAAGGCCTTTGTTTCCAGACATTATCTGGGAAATTTCCAGATATTATCTGGAAAATGTTATTTCCAGACATTGTCTGGAAATGCCGTTCTTTTTCCAGATATATATCTGGGATTTGACCATTTCCAGACATTATCTGGAAAAAGTAGACATTTCCAGACATTGTCTGGAAAAAAACGGCCATTTCCAGACAATGTCTGGAAATGGGAAAAAATGTCTGGAAATTTCCAGACATCGGTTTCACCGTGTCCACGGAAATTACAGTCCACGGAAATTACATTATTGCATAAAATGGGGTGTACAAGCCAAACCAGAAGTGCCACCGGAACCAAAATTTTACTGGAACAACTTGTCCACAACCCAATGAGAACAAGGTGGTCGATTCGACGTCGAATCAATGTCTAACGGTCTAGGTTACGGCGAATCGAAAGTGAGGTAGAAGAAAAGTGTTTTTCGACGTCCCGGGAAACGCAATAAAATCAATTAAAATCACTTACACTGGCATCCTTTAGCTCGTAACTAACGGTAATTATTTTCAAATTATTCCAAAAATGGAATTTTTTAATATTTTGTGCTTAACGTCGATTCGACGTCTATTCGACGTTAGCTGCTCAGCTGTTTAAATTCGCGCGCGCAAGGTGCAGCACGACCGCTGTGCGTGCGAAAATCTAAAGATCCTATATACAACTTTATTAATATATCAAACACCTTGCAGTACTCTCGAGGCCCTTAATAAAATAATTTAATGTAAAGACGAGTTCGTTTGAGTGACGGTGCCCGTATTTTCGCGTAAGGATGTGTTGGATCCTCTTTACGGCCGTTGTTGGAGTTGGCACCATTGGCTGTTGTGTATGATAAGCGATCGTAATCAAATACTACCAGAAAGAGGCCGAACAAATTTGCTGGTGCTGCGCTGGATGAATCGTTTCAGGAGAATTTGAAAACAAGAACCCCTTTTTTAAGAGCTGTTAACGTTTTGTAAGTATTCGGGACTGACCGTATTCTGTCAAGGGCCCGATGTGCGGTCAAACTAAGTTTCTTTTTAGGTTATGTTAACATGTACACAGAGTATTAATTCTGTTGACAGGGTGAATCTTATGTTTTGCATCACGAAGATGGTGGAGATTCGGCCGTAAGTTACCAGAAGGCAGTCAAAAATTATATTTCGGTAACAGTTGGCCGGGTTTAACTTCAAGTGAAAGAACTAAAAGGTGAGAATTTCCTTACAAATAACGAAAATTTTTGAAGTTGTTGATAACAATTTACAGGAGAACCTCTCCTGTTCCGTAAAAAACATGGAACATTGTGTCAAATTTTTGTTAGAAAATTTACTTCAACTGGTGTGATAACGGCTTTTTCATTTCAATCTATTCCAACAGTTGGGCTCATCTTGCATTATCGAGGAAAACATTTGCTGAGGACTTCGTACGACGCTCCCAGGCAAGAATGGAAGTGCACCCAGCGTTAAGTGGCCAATGTGTTCATTACAGGTTTTTTTAAGGTACTGTTTACGTGACATTTTGCATCGTGACGTGATAATTTCTGTCTGGAAAGTCAGCCTTATTGGCATATAAATTCTCTTGTTCTATGTAAGTAAAATTGAACTGTTCTTTACTTTAAATAGTTAAACAACTTAAAAGCGTTGTTATCTGTGCCAACAAGGAGACTGCAGTTTGTTGTGTCGTAATAAACCTTTTGGCTTCCTAAGTTTTTGGTGCAGAATGCTAATATGTGAAAGCTCATTGATCTTGAAATAAAAATATAATTTATGTCTTGAATTTTATATGCTTGTACTTCCCCCGACCCTTTACGGAAGCCACAGGGCTTCTAAATTGAAAAATATAGCAATATACAGTAGCATAGACCGCATTTCGACGTTATTTCGACGCATCGACCCCTGATCGACGTCGCCGGGGCGTCGATATTTTAGTCACAGGGACGTCGATTCGACGGAAATTTCGACCTCCCCTTCGATCCCCCTTTCTACATCGAATCGACGTCGAATCGACCACCTTGTTCTCATTGGGAAGGCAAACACACAAGGATTGGTTCGCAATCAAAATTTTGAATGGTCTGCAAGCAATGGGTGGAACGGAAATTACACTTATTGCTTGCTAGGCCAATTTTTTCGCCGCTTTGGAACTTATTTAACTTTATATTTTCCGTTCTAATGGTGCCACATTACTCCGCCACTTTGCAAATTGTGTAGAAAGAATGCACCAACAATATGACAAAAGTTTCAGGACGGTCGCACATAAGGTAGAAAAACCGTCCCAAAAAAACCGATTTTAGACTTTTTGAATTTTAGTTGTGGAAGACAATTTTCGGAATCATATTGTGTCTGCAAATTTTACCCGAGAGATATGTTCTACACGTCAAAACGTAGCCTCACTTGCGTAGAACAAAATGCACTTAGCGAAAGTGATTTCTCATACTCCCTTGGGCTGTAGTAGAGGCGGGAAGCCCCAAATCTGGAGCGTAGGACATCAAAAAGTGTCCACGGAAATTACATTCTAGGGTAAAACTTGCAATTTAACGGTGGAAGGAGGCAAAATTTCATCTTGATGAGAGTTGTACCTTGTCCGCAAGGTCAAAAAAACATAAAGGTAGGAAAAGACCCGGTTAAAATCGACTTTAGGTTGGAAGAACCAGAGAGAGGACAAGAAATTATCACATCTCGCGAGAACTGCTCATATCCCCAAGCTAAACAATAGCCAGCCTCGCTGATGTCTGAACTTTTTTGGTCATACATTTAAGTATCACCGTTTTTCGGTCATACATTTGTGTATGACCGTTTTTTGGACATACTTTTTGTATCAACGAAAATCGGTCAGATGTCTCACCCTTCGAATTTCAGTGAACAAATCTCGTACAGTATTTATCTGCAGTGCACGCATCACACACAAAATGTTTTTGTCTGAGATCTCACAGTTTTTGGTGCACACTAACTTTTCGTACAAATTTGGACGAGATGCTGCACTAAAATGTGACAAACTGTGCAGTTTTTTGTACAAAAAGTTCGTGGAATTGGTATTTAAATCAAGTTTATCGATTGAACGCCCCCAGTTTACATACTAAATATTTTTGTACAAGTTTTCAACCATACGAGACGTGACAGTATTTTGTACAAATGAATATTTTGTACAAATTTGTGCTTGATTTTCCACGAAATTGGGCAGAAAATGTGCAACTGCGGTTTTTGTTGTGCCAATCGTACAAGAAGTTCGTCCGCACCGCACCAGAAAACTACTACAACGTCTCAAACAAAATTGGACGTAGTGTGTGCAGTACAAACCTAACTGTCTACTAAGTGAACACTTACAAATGCGTGCTTGCAAGTACACACTTACAAACGCATGCTTGACGCATGGAGTTATATGGCGCTAAGTATGCGTTTGTAAGTGTGTACTTGCAAGCATGCATTTGCAAGTGTGTACTTAGAAGACTGTTAGGTTTGCAGTGTACTGCGGGTGCTTGAAAAAATAAATGAACCCGGCTGTCTCGTGGGGTCAGGGGGTCTGCGCTGTGATTGACCTTGTGGCTGCCCGGTGCGTATCCCTTTGGGCCCGGGCCGCCGCCACGCTGGTTCCAAACCGTGCGCTTCGCCGCGTCGTCTCTCTCGCGCTCCTGCGGGCCGCCCCATCAGTGCGAGAGAGACGGCGCGTTTTTCGGCATCCGCCTGCTGGGCCCGCCTGCGTAGCCACCGTCATTATTCTGTTGTTTCACTGCGGCTGCTCCGCCCTGCGGACTGATTCCGAAAGTCGTTGACGTCGCCCTGTCTCTCTCGCACTCACGGGGCGTGCCGCACAGGCGCGAGAGAGACAGAGCGACGAAAACGACTCCCGGAGTCAGCCTGCTGCTCCGCTGCACTGTAGGTCCCGGTGATGCACGACCTGGTGCAGGCGGGCGGCTCGCTGTGGAACCGAGCGGTGGCCTCGGCGTTCGACGGCCTCATGCTGCTGCCCGCCGCGCTGGGCGCCCTCGGCCCGGCGGACGAGACGGACCGCGGCCGGAGCCTCTGCGACAAGGCGCCGGGCTGCGGCCGAGACTGCTGCAAGAAGGCGTAGCGCAGCGTGGCGAGGCGGCGAGGTAACGCACACTGTAAAAAATGGTACAGAAAAATATAGTACGGAGGTACGGTGAAAAGTACGGAACGTTCCGTACTTGCTCCATATGAACCCATGTTAATTGGTACGGGAAAAAAGTATACGGAACGTTCCGTAGTTGTCAAGTATGGACGGTCCAGGCAAATTTATTGACCAGACATGTTCGGTACTTTTTCCGTACTTTTTTCTCTCAGTGCACGGGTAGAACTTTTCACCCTGCATCCACAATCTTGCCACCCCAGATTTCAGTTTCACGTAGTTCGGTAGTTCACGTACTACCCCATGTTCAGAAGTAGGGACAAGAACAAAAATTGAAGTTTTCTGGATCCCCATAGTTGACTCTCGGCGAACTCCTAGTTCATGCGAACTCGATAGACTGATAAGAAGTCACGGGCATAAACTTTTCCTCTGCTCTTCTTCCGCTTCCTGGATCAGACAACACAAGCTCTGCGGGGCGTGGGCGGCGGCTTTGCGTTTTCCTGTTGCTCGTCGCGACTTCCGCTCTGCCGTCTTTCTAATTGAACACGCACTCGCCTCGACGTCACACTGTTATTCTTTCCTCTCCGCGTGTCTCTCCTCGCGACTTGGCGGTGCCTCGCGAGCCGCGGCACCGTATCGGCCCTGCAGCCGCAGCAGCCTGATTCGTTTTCGTCGCTCTGTCTCTCTCGCACTCATGAGGCGTGCCGTATGCGTGCGAGAGGGACAGAGCGACGAACGCGACTCTCGGAATCGGCCTGCAGTCGCCGATCCATAATTCATGGATCTGGAATTCTATATTTTCGCCCAGGTCGGCATTGGCGCGGTTTGCCGGGAGTCTTTTCCGGAGCCAGCGGAGCGGTTCCGCGCGGGGCGTGCGTCGCTCCGTCTCCCACGCGACCCCCGACGGGGCGCCCGCGTGAGTGCGAGAGAGACAGAGCGACGGACGCGTCGTGCGGAGGCAGTCCACTGGCGTCGCCGCTTGCGCCGCCCGCCGAGAGACGCATCTCGGGGGCCTCGTTGGCTCGAGTCAGCCGAGACATCCCGCCGCGTGCATTAACCTGTATTTTGACTTGCTGACTGGCGGGGCGTGCCCTGATCTGGGGCCATGACCCCTCCCCTGCCTCTTCCCTCATCTCTCTCTTTCTCTCTTTCTCTCTCTCTCTCTCTCTCTCTCTCTCTCTCTCTCTCTCTCTCCTCTCTCCCTCTCTCTCTCCCTCTCTCTCTCTCTCTCTCTCTGCCCACACGCTTCCAGCAGCCGGGGATAAGAATGGGAGGGGGATTGCCATTTGGTTTCCAAGAAGTGCCCCCGCCCGCGCGGCGTAGGCTTACGGTGTGCGAGTCACCGTGTGCGGGAGCGTGCCAAGGCGGGCCGTTTGCGAGAGGAGGCCAGTTTTTTCCCCCCACCACCTTTTTGCGGGGAATGCGGAGTGGGAGAAAGATGATTGGTCGCGGCCCGCCGTTATGCGGAGAATGTGACGTTATATTCGTTAGATCGTGAATTTCGTCACTTTCGTTTCGAAAGGGATTCTTTTGAACGAGACACAGACGTTTAGTTGGGATGTCAAATTTCTTTGAACGGACGACACGTTTACTGGCTTTCTGAAAACCTTTCGAACTATTTTCTCTGCAAGCTCATGCTCAAACTACTTGTTGTATGAACCTACACTGGTAGAACTGAAGCGTAGTTGTATGCTTGATTCAAGCATACAACTACGCTTGAAGACTTTACGCTTGACGTCAAGCGTAGAGAAGAAATTCTCCCATGCATTTAGATAGGCGGGAGAGGGGCCAAATGGAGAACTATGCTTGAAGCCGAGCGTAGTTCTACTACGCTTGAAGAAAGGCGTAAAAGTACGCTTGAGTTTTACCAGTGTACTGTAGTTCGTAATGCAAACACGGCAAAAGTACCGCCTGGGATTCCCAGGCGGTGCCTGGAAAATAGGCCCTTTTTCCCATGATGCGCCTGGGAATCCCAGGCGGTACTTTTGCCGTGAAGATACCGTCTTTTACGAACTACTTCTTCGTATTACAAAATAGTTTTTTCACACTTCGTTGAGTTTTATGCGTGTGTAAAACATTTTTCTGTCTGCCAGCGCGCCTGTGAGTCTTCTTCCCGCCGGCACGCGTGCTTAACGGGACTGCCTACCCTCGGATCAGCAGGCGCTAGGCTGCCGCCCGCGTTCTGTACGGCTACTTTTAGGAAACAAATCTCGGAAGCACCCGCAGAGCTTTTTGAGGAAAAATGTCATCCGATCTTCGGTGAGCTCTATTTTACCTAGGTCTTTACGTAGGTCTTTACCTAGTCTCTAGCAGGCAAAGCGGTGAAACACAATAATCTTCTCGAAAAACGAAGCTCGCGGCAATTCTCGTCGAAGCCTTGGAGCGCCTTTTCCGGTATTTTTCCAATTTATCAATAACCTTGCATATTTTTGCAGTTACGATGCATCATGCATGCTACACTGCAAGAAAAATTGTGAAAAGTACAACAAATGTTGAACAAAAACTGTACAATGAAAGTACAACAGTGATTGTAGAAAGTACAACAAAAATTGTACAAACCACAACAAGGCCTGGACTGCACAGCGCTCCTTGTACCGGTGCCATTGTACTTTGTACAACAATTGTTGTACTTTGAAAGTACAATAAATTTTCTTGCAGTATAGGGGTACGTGATTCGTCAGCACGTCAAATTG